CTCCCCGGAGGACTGATGAAGATTCTTCAGGTCATACTTGGTGCCGGGCTGCTCGCATGTAGCCATGTAATTGTCGGTGAAGACTTTCTTGAGGTCGTCCCATGATCGGATGGAGTTCTCCCGCATGCTGAGGAGCCAGTTGTTTGCAGACTGGTTTAGCATGACGGGAAGATAGTTCGCAATGGCGTCTTCGTCTCCGCCCGCAGCTTTCACGGCGATCTTATATAGAGTTAGCCACTGAGCGGGGTTGGCCTTTTCCATCATAGGTGTTAACACAAATAACCTTGAAACCCATAGGCCACCGGATAGCTCAGAGCCTTTCCATGAAGGGGCAAAGTCCTAATGCGCCGGTAGGGATTGGTGCTTGATAGGCAGCAAATCCCTCATGTTCGGCGTTGAATTACCGGTGATGCTCCATCTCTGCTTCATAGCGTGCGGACCTGCTGTTTTTGATGTGGTCGCGAACATCTGCGTCGGCGTTGATGTGGTCACGAAGGTCGTGATGGAGGGGTTGATTGACCTCTTGGTTGCGGTTGCCACCCCGACCTCCCTGGGGGCGTGGAGAGCGACCATCGTGGCATGAATGAGCTTCATAGTTGTCTCTGGATCCTCTATAGAGGTAGGGACCCCTAGCCTGAGGTCGGGGGCCCTCGGCGTCGTGACGCTGGCCTCTACCGTCACGGTGAGAACGATGGCTATGAGCTGACGTGGTGGAATAAGATGGGGCGTCGTTCTGGAACTCGTTAACTTGACTTGTGTGGCTATGATATGTGCTCGGACCATCTCGACCTCTGGAGTGTGAGGGGGTTTGTCGAGCTCATTGAAAGCGATGACTAAATTAGCGCTTGGAGTCTGGTAGACTGGCTGGTCGCCCACCATGTCAAATGCCTCTTCTAGATTACGTTGATGGCGGGGTGGGCCGTGACCATCCTTGTCAGCCCCTTAGGCTACTTCTGCATCTCGACGACGTTGGCGATCGGCGTTCTTTGCTAGACGAGCTTCGCGCTGTTCAGCGATTTCACCATCCTTTGTGACGCTATCGTGGATGATGTGGAAAATCATGCCCCAAACCTCAGAGGGAAAGTAGGGCAGCTTGATACGGTCTTGGTTGATCACTCAAAATAATCATCGGGGCTCTCGTTCAGAACGTTGTGGAGAGATTCGGTCGAAAGAGGGGAATCATGCGAGAGCTAGCGAATAGCCACCATGTTGCCCACGGGCGTAGGCTGACCGAAGTTAGTTTGGTCGATCATGTAGAGGTCAGTGATGTGGTCGCGCTCGACGTGGTCGACGAAGTGGTGGTGGACGGCGTTTTGGTACGTAGATCCTGCACCCTTCAACCCGAAGAGGTAGGGCCTCGGCGGGTTCTCCATCGGGGCCTCATAGTCGGCCAAGCGTAGGCCGGTAGCAGGAAGTGGTTGGTGCCATGCTATGCACTCCTCCGGAGCAGCCGTGATCACCAGATCAGAATCTGGCTGCCTCGAACGGTGTGGCCGAGCAAGTCGCTCGGTCGTAGCGGCTTGGTGATCTTGGAGTGTAGGAGAATCATCACTCGCTCTAGATTGGTCTAAGACTGAATCCACGAGGAGCTAACATTCCATTAAGCGGTCTGTGACCCGATCGATGGATGCGATCAGATCATCATTGATGATAGATGTCCTAACCTAGCGGTAGGGCACCGGGATCAGAGATGTCGTTGCAGGTATTGGTGCGATCAGCGCAGGGTGGTCCTGCAACGCCTCCACGATCTCCTCGTTGTCGTCGGGGCCGATGATCCAGGTCATGGACCCAACCGTGAAGATCTGGCCCGGCTCGAGAAGGGCCATGGAGCTCGGAAAAGGTGACCATCTGGTTCGCCATGAATTCAGCACGCACCCCCCTGCCTGGCGCGCCACTGTTGACGAAATCTAGCCGGCAGTCTACCGAGGGGTATGCCCACGGTAGTAGATAAATCGATGGAGGTGCGCGTGAGGGAACCATACAGTGACACAGAACGCAAGAGATAATGATTAGGCAGATCCAGGCCGCCGACTTGGCGTAATACCATACGTCCTGTGTCTTTCGGTGGATTGTATTGCGTATGATTAGATGAAAAGGAGGGGGTCTCTACCCGCCTTATATAGCCCGGGGGTAGGGTTACAGATTAGTTATTTCTATCCTGATCGATTTACAAGATAGAAAGTTATATATATTACAGGATCTAGCATATCTGAGTAGGTTTCTTAGATCACCGAGGATCTTCACGCAGTCTTGCGATGCACGCTGACCTGCGCCGTGCTTCACGCGTTGTCGTCTTGTAAGCAGGGCCTCCACTAGTAGTGTGACCCATGCGTAGTCTTGTGGGCTGGGCCTCCCCTAGCGGCTCGGCCCATGTGCAACCCTGTGGGTATTGGGGGTCATACCCCCATAGTCCCAGGTAGTTGCGATGTGCAAAGCCCATGACATCTTGCTTGATTCCTTCCCATTGCTGCATCCGCATGCTGTACGAGTGGGCTCAGGACGGCCTCAGGCGCGGGCGCTTCTTCCTAAGCGTGGGTGAGGTGGAGGTGCCCTCCAATGAGGGGCAGAGGAGCTGGCGTCCATGCTCAGCACTTGTTTGATGAAATGCCTCAAAGTGGTAACCTTATCAGCCCAAAGATGAGGTGATTCCATAATCCATACAAGGCAAACCAAGCAACCAAACCCATCTATACTTATGCAGGCTAAGCTAGCCAGTGCAACTAAACAAAGTGCATCTTGCATTGTCGTGGCCAGGCTTTAGCTATTCAGGCTTAGTTGGCTGGCCATGTCAAAGCCAAAACGTGAACCAAACACACCCTATGTTTCTTCTTGACAAGTCCTCTGAGGGAGTGTGCACTATGGGCCTGTTTGGCATAGCTCACAACAACTATGAGCTGTTGTGAGCTATTTTTTTTGCCAAACACCCTTTTTCCAAACAACTTTATGGGTAAAGCTATTTTTCCCTCTCACAAAGGAATGGGATGGGAGAGAGCTAAAAAAGTAGCTTCTCTCTCACTTTTAATGACACATGGGGCCCACCACCAAAAAAAGACATACATCAAGAGAGAGAGAGGGGGGGGAGAGCGCATGCTGGGGAAAGGTGTGCCCGCTGGGCGCATCTCGCCGGGGCACGGCCGCCAGGGGTGTGGCACGCCGGAGTCACGATCGCTGGAGTCACGACCACCGCGGGATACGGGGGGAGGTGTGGGCGGCGGCGCCGCCAAGCCCGCTCCGCTGGGCACGGGGTGCGGCCGCCAGGCACGGGAGCGGGCGCGGCTGTCGGGGGCGCTCGCAGGCGCAGCCTTGGCCGGGCGCGGGCCGCGGGGACGGGCATGGGCCTCCGGGAGAGGCCACCCTAGTGGCGCGGGCCGACGTGATGGGCGCCGCCGTGAGCAGGAGCACCTCATCGGCGGTGATGGCGCATCAGATCTGCTCGAGGTTGATGACGATGGTGCGCTCGCGGCCCAAGACCGTGGACGGGTACACGAAGAGCGGGTCGAGCAGGCGGAGGTCCCGCGTGGGGAGGTCGCAGCGCCGCATCATGGTGGCCTTGTCAATCTCCAGCTTCTGCATGGAGGCCATGGCGGCCTCGACGCGGATTCGGCTGCGCGTGCCGCCGCCGTGCTTCTTGAGGTTGGGGACGTCGAGTCCCCCCGAGAAGCGGTGGCCGTCGAACCCCGGGGGCGCGGATGGGAGCGCGGGCGAGGAGGCCGATGCAGCGTGGGACGGGTACACGCGGTGGAGGAGCGGCTGCTTGACGGAGTCCCCAGCCGCGGCCCCACGACCTTTGTTGCGACGCATACGAAGCCAGAAAAAAAGAAAAAGAAAAAGCTAAGGGTATTATAGTAATTGTTCCTACTGAAACTGTTTTGGTCTACCATGTGAAGTTGTTTTGCGCCAAAGGATGGCTAGTCCAGTTGGTTAACTGAGATATGCTAGTCACTCCAGCGACACCATCTAGGTCCTGAGTTTGAGTCACAGTGGGAGCGAATTTCAGGTTTGGGGTTAAAAAAATCCCCTCGCCGGTCCCGGGTGCCAAAGCACTGGTTTAAATGAGACGGCCCATCTCACGGGTTACGTCTCCCAGTGTCGGGTCGGGGCCGGGGTTTGAGGGTTTTCTCGGCCTGTATGAGAAGACCTTCTTCTTACCTATAATGTCCGGGGAACCGCTTGCCCCTCGTAGGTCGAGTTTTTTTAAGTTGTTTTGCCAAATATATTTTTTTAAAATAACTCAGCTTCATTGAGAGAGCTGCTCAAGCCATTTTGCAAAAGAATAACTTCGTTATTGATACTGAGCTGTGCCAAACATGCCGGCGTAGCCAACCTGAGAAGTCAGCCTAGCCAACGTGGCAGCCTCGCTGCGTTAATCTTGGCCGTTGCGGTCCGTGCAAGCTAGCACTGGCTACTTGTCAGTGTGTGACCGTTTATGTGTCAAAAGGTTTATGCACATTGAGAGGCTTTGTTCGTTTCATCCTAAACCTAGGCCTGACTTGTACATGCAAAATCCACTGCTCTCCCGCGACGCTCCAGCTCATAATTAAATATTTGCATCGGAAGACGAAGAGGAATCGCGACGGTCGAGCGGGCGCCCACATAACCATAACTATCAGCCTGTTTGCTCGTAAATGATCGTAAATTTCTAGCGAAAACATTGTTTTTCTCTCACATTAAACCAGCCAGCAGTAAATAATTCATGATACGATACGGTCTTCCGAATAGGCTGTATGTCGCCGTTCGTTCTATATTAATCACAAACGACATGTTCGCTGATTAGTTTTTGGCTAGTTTGAACTGGCTGATGTTGGTTTATTACGAAAGAAAAACATTGTTGATAGATTGAATAAGCCTGGCTGACACAATAAGCGAACAGGGTGAAAGATGGCGCACACGCACGTCTTCCTGGCTACCTGATTGACCCGGCCGTTCATCGACCAGAACAAAACGCCAGAGTCCAAGAGCCGCATCGATCAATACCTGCAGTCTGCAGAGCTTGCAAGACAATGGCCTCGTCGTCCTCGGCGGAGGCTGCGAGGGCGCACGTGGAGCGAATCCGGCGGGAACGGTTCTACATCGGGCGGGAGGAGAGGAACCCGCTGGCGGAGGACATACACCAGGCAGTCAGCTACCTCTCTGAGGAACTCTACCCCAAGGACGTCCATCTCCTCTCCTCATGGAGCTCATCCAGGTATGCACACATCTACCTATACCTATTCCATTATATCGATCATTCTTGATTTTCTTGTACTACCTCCGGTCACATTTTCAGCTTCTCTTATAATCTATATTTTTTAGCTTATTTTTTCAAACAGAACAGTGTTTCTCTCTTGTAACAAATCAGCCGAAACAGTGTTTCGGCTTGTTTTTTCAGCGAAGCGAACGGGCCTTGCTAGCTTATTTTCTTCTTGTTCTCGTCTTAGCGTCATCTATATTTGACTGAAGGAGTGAAAGGTACTATATTTTCTTGAAGATGCACACACACATGAATACTTTGAGAAATTTTATTTGCGTGTGCACAAATCAATTGCTTCACCAAGTTCATGTCTCGCAGCAGTAATTAAAATATGAACCCATATTTGTATGAAATCACATTTGGATTTTTTCCCTCATGGATAGGAATACATTTATGTCTTCAATTATATTTACCATTAAAAATATTTCATAATAATCAAATAATATTTTATTCAGTACATGTTTGTAATTTTTTTTATATAAGCTACATATATGTCCGTGCATTATATCGGGGCAATGAATTTTTGTCTATGTTTATGTCGACGCACGTGACTTGTGATAGAAACGGATATATTAAGAAATCTACAAATCTAATTACATAGGGGGCAACAATTTTTTGTCCACACCTATGACAACACACATGACTTGTGGCTTAGATAAATATATTATTTTTTTACGGGTATAGATAAATATATTAAAAAATCTACAAATCTAAGTACATAGAAAATACGAAGCTTGTTTCATAATCATTATCACCAGTATCGTTTAGACCTACTTTATAAAACCCTAACGAAATTGGTTTCACTTTTTCTAATTAATACTTGTGTGATTTATTGTTATGAATTTTATATTACAAGTTTAAGTTGCTTTAACCATTTCAGAAAATAATAATATAACAAAGCTTTTTTCATTGGGAACCCTAATGGGCCCCGTTGTTCCTTAGCTGATGCATGCACGTACTGGCAAGTGGGGTGCAGACGCACGGGGCAATAGGACAATAATCCAGTTTAGGTGTAGAGATTTGGTTAAACTTAAAATTATTTGAATTCTTCGCAAGTAAGAATTGTATTTTTTTTGACGAATGGAGTATATTCTTGGACAAAGTGGGTCCAAGACAAACCTGTGTAACATGTATGATTAGTCCACTCTAAGCATCTTCGTCCTTTTAAATTTAATCCTCAACGTTCTCATTTAACGCCATCCTAATCATAAAGTACCTCTAAATCTCTCTCATCCCCATGTGTGTGTGTATATATGTATATTAACCACCTATTTTTTAGTATGTCACATGAGTAATTTAGGTCTATTTCCACTCATTTCGCCAAGAAAAAACTATTCTTTTAGAGACCTCATATTTTTTTCGAGAACATTTATAGATACCTCATATGTGATGGGAATATGGGATCATCATTCTCGTGGGCTATCTTTCCAGTCACGCGTGTTGCTACAGTTACCATCTCACTCTTCTTCAAGCTCCGTCGAGTCTGACCGTCCATCCTAAAGACCCTTGCAGCCGCGGCTCCGCTCACCCAAGTCACCGCCAGGCAGTTCAAAAAAAAAAAGTCACCGCCAGCCCGCACCCACCGCGCCGCCACCCCCAAGTGACGTTCGCCCCCACCTCTGGTGCCGGCTCGCTCGCTGTCCATCGAGCCGCTGGTCCGGCCACCGCCCCTTCTAAGGCCACCGGGTATGGAGGTCTTCCCCCAAAACGCTAACTGCCGCCGCGTCGTCCACCGCCCTTGTCGCAGAACCGACCAATTTATAAGAGTACAAGTACAATGGCAGCCCGCAAGCGGTTGCACTGTCATACTTGAACCCATATAAACCCGGTAGTCCGTCGAGTACCATGACGGGTCTCGATAAACGATTTACAACAACCAAGATCGTACATGATTCAACATACATGCCACATATTACATAAAGTTCACAGATACATTTCTCCATAAGAGTACGAATAAAAGTTATTACAAACCGAGTTTGATAGATAAAAGCGGAAGCAAATTAAGTTTGAAAGTAAAGTTTCCAACATAGTTTAGTACAGTGCCAAAATACGATCACGGTCCACAAAAGCATGTAGAAAGATTAATAAGAAGCCTGCCCAAGGCTTACTCCTCATCCACAGTGGGATAGAAGCAACTCTTGCAATAACTATGATACATAGTGCCATCTGCAACACGGGAAATAAAACCCTGAGTACGAGAAGGTACTCAGCTAGACTTACCCGTCATAAACCAGAAATAAAATGACTCCAAGGATTATGCAAGGCTGTATAAGTGGAGATAGCTTGACAACATTTTGCATAAAAGCAATTGACTTATTGTACAATTAGGATTCCTTTATCAATTATTTATAACTATCCATCTCTAGATTAGCAACTATCATATGCCAAACATGTGGTATATCCATTTAAAAGCATACAATAGTAACCATAGCAGGTATTGTAATCCCATATTCATTCGAACCATCATGTTCCATAACACAGTTACTACGATGTTGGGACTAGCCAAGTTTCTCACTATCCGGGAGAGACGACGATTCGAATCGATTTCAACCAGCTGGGAATTTATTCCTAACACAAACCCAGGTCTACTAGCCACGATAGCCTTAGGTCACCTTTGGTACAACTCAGGTACACATTTCGCGGGTCCGTACCGCGCCGCACAATCTGGAACACCAGATGCCAGGATGTTCAGGCCTAGCCTGCCCTTGGGCTCAGTCTGATCGTTCCCCGGAAGGAGCGCACAACAGAACGGGTCCCGGCCTGAGTTGAATTACTCGGCTTCGCGGTCGGAACGAGTTATCCGGCCAGCTAAGTGAGAGGCATGCGTTCTATCTTGTCAGAAGCGCCAACAACGGTACGGTCCTTAATCGACACAGACGGGGATAGATCCACACCCAAGACCTCCATGTCTTGTTGCTTCTCTATCGACATCCCGCCCGGTTTCCATTTACATTAACCATGGTTCTTTTCCACGATAGCAATTATAACCAACCGTGCTCCAGTATTCACCTATATCTCGCAGGTGACAGGAAATCACCTGACTTCTACCGGTCTAAGCATGGCTAAGCATATATTCGATCCTAGACCTATACCGGTTAAAGGTGTAATAGCTGGACAAGGAATGTATATGCATCAAGTGGTGCCATTCAACTCTTATAACCTAATGCATCAATTATAAGTACTTAAGTAATCATTTGTAAAATACTAGGAGACTTAAAATGCTCCGGGGCTTGCCTCGCAGAAAGAAAGTAGGGCGGTGATCAGGACACTCCGGAAGATCTTCAAGATTATGCTCCTCGCCTTCGGGAGCTGCGACTTGAGGATTCTCCTGCTGGTCCCCTTCCTCTGCTTCGTCGAATTCCAGCAACGTTATTTCTTCCTCCGATTCTAGATGCATGAATATGGCATAAGTATTACGAATGCATATATGTTAACAAGTGCATCATGTTTATTGAGTAGGTGCATATCTCTTCTCGATTATTTAATTACTACTTCCACGATGCATCTATTATGTCACAAAATAGCAGCTACTTGTTTTACTCATAACAGAAGTTCTAATAATCCAAATGCAGTGATCCTGGACTTTCTGGAAAGCTTATCAAATTATCTACAACTTTGTTATTAACCATTTTTACAGCAAACATCATCCCTATCATGCAACTTAGCAAACTCTAGAATCTATCCGGAAACTATTCCAATTCGCATTATAAAGTAACAATACTTCTACTTCATATAAGTATTAAATTTTTTACAACCAAAAGTCTACCAACAGTTTAAGCATACCAAATACATCCAAGAAAACATAATGATGAAGCCCAAACTATTTATTTAAATGTCTTTATTATTTTATTTGGACACATAGGTTAAATAATAAACATATACCAAATGTGCATCATAAATTCTCAGAAAATTACAGTGGTTTACTAGTGCTACCAATAGACTACTGTAAAAATTTCATGCCATTTTGCCAAGTAGAACATCCTATACAAAAATGACAAGGCAGCAAGGCTTAAAATAGCATAAATAGAAAACCCTATTGAAAAGTGTCAAGAAACAGATTTTCTATTTTTCTTAGCATCCATATACTAATAGGATAACCTCCAACAAATTTCATGAATATTGGATTCATAAATAATTTATAAAAATTGACACAAGGATCTCCTAATTATAAAATAAAAATCTATAACTATAAATCTACACGTGCACTAATCCTCAAATTTTTACCAGAGTTCATACATGACAAGAATAGCTTACCACAAAAATTTCATAATTTTTGGAGCATAGGAACTCTAGATATAAAATAAACAAGTTTGCATGCATTCAAAAACACATTGCAAATCTCTATTTAAATTTCCCAAAATTTCTACTGTAAATGTTAAGAACATATTTTTCCTAAATACTACACTTCCTAAGGAACACTAAAAAAATTATTTCACAATTTTTGAAGCTACCAAACTGAAGATATAAAAATCACAAAAGAATTCAAAAACTGGAATCAAATGAACTATCTTTCAACTGCAGAGTCGCTGACCGGTGGGACCCGCTGGTCAGGGGACCCCACACGTCATTGAGACACGAGCAGAGCCGGCGCCGCTACGCGACTGGCGTGGTCGAAGCTCGCCGACGGCGAACTTGCCGGCGGTAACATCTTCACGGCGTGACCTACATGACTTAGCGCATCTATTGCACCACTTGGCCGGCCTTATCGTCGACGCTAGTGACGACAGCGGCGGCCATGGCGGCTCGGCGAGGCGGGACGACGGCGGTACGTCGGTGATGACCTCGGCGGCTCGACCTAAAGCTCAGACGAGCACCAGTGGACTACGGCGAACCTAGAGCATCAGCTATCGCGTGCAATGGTAGACTATAACGGCGTGGCCACGACGACGAAACACAGCGGCGAAGCTCCGGCGAGAGCATGTGCGTTGCTGTGTCTTACCAAGCGCTCTCAGCGA